GTTGAGACTGGTTTTCTCTGCTACTGCGCACACTTGCGTAGTTGCTGGTAGAGGGCAATTTTTGCTTTTATCCCAACAAAATTATGAGCCCCAATTTTGGCAGCTTTTCTAAAACTGAAAGAGATCCTATGTAAAAGCAGTTGGGGAGGCTGGAGGACTTCAAGAAAATGTGTCTTCCTTTCTTGTTTATTTTACTTTTTCTTCCTGTCAGTGTAGGGCCTGTCCTGCGGTGGGGGAGGGATAGAATGTCCCCTGGAGAAGTGTAAAGTGAAAAGCGATTCTTTCTGTGGTCGGACCTATACAACCGGCGCAGACCTCAGGTTTTCTTTCATTGTTCTTGGGACTATATTTGGGATCTTTCCATCCAAAGTCGGTGGATATTAGGAAGTTGATGTTCTGGAAAAGGCGAGGCCGTTTGAAACAGAGCAAAAGAACTGAGATGTGACAATTCGGAGGAGCAGTCAGGTAATGGCGGGAGGCAGGACTTCCACCATTTTCCTTCTTCATTGAGAACTTTGAAGCAATCAGGCGGAGCACGTCCACACACCGGCCCGCCACGTCCAGGCGCGTTCCAGGACCTCACCACGCGGCCACGCAGGTGAGCGATCCTGCTCTGCTCCTCCGGGAGCCAGCCAGTCACAGCGCTGCGCGTTCCTCCACCTCCGCGAGTCACCGCCCGCTCTCCTGCAGTCAACGACCAATTGGCCTCTCTTCTTACTGGTTTCCTTCAACATACAAACATGCGGTTGGTTATTGCTCTATCTTAAAACAAAATAAAAACTTTGACCTAGTCTCCTTGCAGGCTACCCTTCTATTTCTTTGTTCCCCTTTGGAGAAAGTCACACGCCCGCAACTCCCGCTCCACCCCCGTTGCCTTCGCTGCTCATTCCTCTCCTAATTCTGACAATGTCCTTCACCCAAAGACCAAAAGAAAAAAGAAAAAACCCACCACGTGTAGTTGAACGAGTTTGGTTTATTTCTCACTGCAGCTAGGCAGAACTGTGGGATGTCTCAGTGAGAGAGTGTTAGAAAGAACGTATCATAAGAGTTGAGTTTTAGCTGGGTAATTTGGGGGAGAGTCTAAAGGAAATGAGAGCTCCTTCTGGATTGGGTGTTCTGCGAAAGCAAGGGCAATTCTATGATTTCTTATCTATACGGAGAGCTGACTAAAGGAGGGATAAAGCTGAAATGGGTAAAGTGATAGTCTCTCATTTAGCCAGGGAGGAGGATCTTTGGTGTTTTGAGTTGGACAGCGATCAACTTGTCTAAAGAAGATGTTCTCTCAGATGCCAATTCTAAGTCTAGGCTTTCTGGACTTCTAACCAATGGACTATAAATTGGGGTTCCCACAACCTTCTCCTCAGGTTTGATAATTTCCTAGAATGGCTCACAGAAGTCAGGAAAACAGTTTACTTACTCCTGGTTTATTATAAAGGATACAACTCAGGAACAGCCAAATGAAAGAGATACATGAGGCAAGCTGTGGAGGAGCATGGGTCTTCCATGCCCTCTCCTGGCGTGCTACCCTCCCCACACCTGGATTTGTTCACCATCCTGGCAGCTCTCTGAACCCTGTAGTTCGGGAATTTTTATGGAGGCTTCTAACTCAGTTTCCAGCCCCTCCTCTCTCCCTGGAGTATGGGGGAGAGGGGGGTCGGAACCTGAAACTTTCAACATTCTAAATCTTGGTTTGATCTTTCTGGTGACCAGCCTTCATCCTGAAGCTATGCAAGAGCCCACTAAAGAGTCACCTCATTAGAATGAGAGACACTCCCCTATTACTCAGGAAATTAAAAGGGATTTAGGAACTCTGTGTTAAGATGTTCCTAACACCCCCATCACACAGGAAACTACAAGGGTTTTAGCAGCTCTATGTCAGGAACCAGGGGCAGAGCCCAAATACATATTTCGTATTATGTCACACTTCCCTAATTTGTCTTTGTTCAAGTCACTGAGAAATGAGCCCAACTCCAATCACCCTATACTAATTGGCGACTACCCCACCATCCACTTTACCCTGCACTATTTTTCCCATAGAAGGTATCATCGTCTAACTTACCACGTTAGTATCTTTCGCTTCACTTTCTCCCAACCCCGTGGAATGCACATCCACAAAGGCAGGACTTTTTTTTGTTCTTATTGAGTTGATAACAGTTTGCATCGATGTGAGATTTCAGTTGTACATTATTTCTTGTCTGTCACCACATAAGTGCTCCGATTCACCCCCTGTGCCCACCCCCACCCCCCTTCCCCTGGTAACCACTGAACTGTTTTCTTTGTTCGTGTTTGTTTATATTCCACATATGAGTGAAATCAGCTGGTGTTTGTCTTTCTCAGTCTGGCTTATTTCACTTAGCATAATTCCCTCCAGGTCCTTTCAAGTTATCACAAATGGGATAAATTTGTCTTTTTTTATGGCTGAGTAGTATTCCATTGTATATATACACCACATCTTTTTTACCCTATTATCGGTCAATGGGCACTTGGATTGTTTCCAGGTCTTGGCTATTGTGAACAGTGCTGCAGTGAACACAGGGGTAAAGGCAGGATGTTTGACTTTGCTCACTAATATATCTCAAGCACATAAATTAGCATCTGGCAGACATTCCATAACAAGTGTTGAACTAGTGAATCAAGAATGGTGTTAGTGTCCTAGGGCTGCCATAACAAGGCACCACAAGCTGTGTGGCTCTAAACAACAGAAATTTACTGTCTCACAGTTCTGGAGGCTGTGCAGGCAGGCATAATCTCAAAACCTCTCTCGAACAGTCTACTCTGTGCTTCTTGCTCTCAGGTCTTGCGTCGCCAGCAATCCCCGGTGTTCCTGGGACTGCAGCTGCGGAACTTCAGGCTCCGCCTCAGCTGGTACGTGTTTTCTCTCTGTGAAATGTCTCCCAGGGCATTTTCCTCTTCTTATAAGGACACTAGTCACAGTGGATTAGGGCCCACCCTAATGACCTCATCTTAATTTGATTACACCTGTAAAGACTCTTTTCCAAATAAGGTCACATTTACAAGTCTTGAGGGTTAGGACGTCGACATACCTTTCTGGAGCACACAATTCAACCTTTAACCCAGGGCTTAACTTCAGTCATTAGGTCTCTGCCACTTTACAGCTAGCTATAAAGCTCTGTTTCAGTCAAAGATCTTATTTTTTATATTATTCAATGATGGGAAACTGCGAAGTACCAAATTCAACAAAAATTAAAATTTTAAAAATTATGTTTACCACACAAAAAAAGGATAATGCTGGGGCTGGCCTGGTGTTGCAGTGGTTAAGTTTGCACGTTCCACTTTAGTGGCCCAGAGTTCACTGGTTCGGATCCTGGGTGCGGACCTATGCACTGCTTGTCAAGCCATGCTGTGGCAGGCATCCCACATATAAAGCAGAAGATGGGCAAGGATGTTACCTCAGGGCCAGTCTTCCTCAGCAAAAAGAGGAGGATTGGCAACAGATGTTAGCTAAGGGCTAATCTTCCTCAAACAAAAAAAGGTAACACTGAATGCGTAAAATTCACAATTAATAGTACACCTATTCCTGGCATTCCCACTGGGAGGTTTCAAAGACAAAAAAATAAAGGAGCTTTGCTCTTATGGAGCTTATATTCCAGAAAGGAAGATAAAATCTGTACAGAAACAATTCCAAGGTGAAAGCTGGCAGTGCCTCAGCTACAGATAACGTTCTTATGGGAAAGCGCACTGCTCTGGGGAAAGGGTGCTATCTGGGAGCAGCAGGCCCAGAGCAGACAGGAATCTCACTTGCAGGAATGAACATATTAGGAAATTGGATGGAAAATTGAACTTCATAGTTTTATTCACTGGTTTAACATGGTTTTTAAGTTCTTCATGACCTAATCCTAAATTACAATTAGCAGTACCTCATCTCAATGCCAAATGCTTTAATATTTTGCATAGAGAATTCAGTCCACATAGCCTGGAATAACCCCCAATTACTGAAACTCTATTCATCCTTTAGGAACAAGGTCAAAAGCCTCCTCGGTGAAGCTTTCCTTGACTCCCTGGCCAGAAGTACCTACATCAGTAACAGCAATCGATACGCTTTACGGCACCTGCCACATTCTGTTTGGTATCATCTGCTGTGTACACATCCACTTCTATTAACCTGTTAACTTCCTAAGGGCAAAGGTCCATGTCTTACTGTTGTAGAATTTACAGTGTCTAAAACTATACTAGGTACACAGCAGTCAGCCAATAAATATTGAGTGAATCTTAGTCTTGAGCTTCTAAAGTAGTAGTATATGGTGAAAAAGTAGAGCTGGAAGTATTTTAAAGATTTTTAATTTTTTTCCTTTTTCTCCCCAAAGCCACCCAGTGCATAGTTGCATATTTTTAGTTGTGGGTGCTTCTAGTTGTGGCATGTGGGATGCCACCTCAGCATGGCCTGATGGGCAGTGCCATGTCTGCACCCAGGATCTGAACCGGTGAAACCCCGGGCCGCCGAAGTGGAGCGCGGGAACTTAACCACGGGGCCACAGGGCTGGCCCCATGGAAGTATTTTAAAAAGTAAAACACACACGCACAAATATAAAAATGAATCCTTTCCTATTCACAATTCCAGGAATTGGCTCTTTTAAGTGTTAGCTGGCATTGGTATCTTCATACATAAAGTATATGGCAAAACTAGGAAGGATCCAGAAAAGGTCAATCACAATGATTAAACTATGAGTAAGAATGGACTAGAGACATATAATCCAGAAAATGTATCAATTTCTACTCTGTCTTCAGGAATATGAGCATACCTATGTGTTTATTTCCCATCTTTACCTAGAAAGAATGAAACCAGCAAAATTTCAGGAAGAGGTAGTTCATTAAAAATAAATGAAGAGAAACAAACAAAAATAGAAATTAAACAATGACTTAGTACATATTTCAAAGAACCCCTGCTCTGAGAAGATAAAAAGCACAAAACAGAAGATTAAAGGCATTATGAATACATGCTTATAAAGGAGTTGCATAAAAATGCATAAATACGAAATATCTTTTTTCTTAGAAATGTATAATTGTTCATAAAAGAAAGTGCTAAGAAGTGAAAGTTAAGTGAACATTTCCACATGTTGCTTAACAAATGCTTAACTATGTTACCAAACATTCTTAGTCCAGTCAAATATATTTCTGGAAAAGCAGGATTATTATAATAAGGACACAAAAATACCAAAACAAAAGGATTTTAAGAAAACAGACCCACATTAGTAGTTGAAATAACTGGTTACGGTAACATTATTTGTTCTTTAAATGAAATAATTGCTGAAAATAATGAAATTAATGGATTCTCCAATGCCCAGCACAGATACGTCAATGGTGGAGAGGCAATGTTGTTATCCTTTTTCAAAAATGAACTATGTAACAAACTTGCAAAATTAAACTGCTTTACTATATTTTATTGATACAAATACAACAAATTTCATAAGCATCAGCTACCATTTTACCACTACACAAGAAAAACAAAAGTCAAAAGAATTAAATATTAATGCGAAGAGTAATTACAGAAATGCTTTCACTTCCACGAAAGCTGTCTCCAACAGCATCCTACATACTTAGTACAATTCGCTTGCAATTGGTTAGATATTTGAAATGAAGCAAAGTTGAATTTTAATCAAACTTTTATTTCTCAGTGGAAAATGCTCTCTTCATCAAAGGTGGTTGAGTTTTCCCGACATCAAACATCATTTCCAAAGGTGGGTTATTAAGAGAACACCAATCAGGTATACGGCCTGTCTGATTATAATATTCCTTTGAGACTGAACGGCTCCCAAGTATATCCTGCAGTGCTCCAAAAATAGCTCCTGTGTGGTAAAAATATTTTTATAGCTAAGATGAAAACTTTTACTAGAAAATTTTATGTATACATATATCCACTTCATTCTATGAGAAGAGAAAACAGGCAAAATTCAGCAATACGTAGTCACACTCTTCAAATTAATTCCAGTTAAGTTGTTCTATATCCTATATTTTGAATAATAGGGTAAGACAACTCCTATGTTAAAAGTAACTAAATGGCCTATAGCAGAGTATAGTGAAAATGATAAGTATCACTGTGTCTAAAAGCAGGTGAGGTAAAGTGGGGTAGAAAGTATTTTCAACTCTGTATAAATACAATAAATAATACCCGTAGTTTTCTCTGCCACAACTCTAAGATTAAATGTCAAGAAATAAAACGGCACTGCAAACCCAGTAAGCATCATTATAATGCCCTAAGAGTCTATGCCGAAGACCTTATAGACACCCACAAGGCAATCTTTAAAAAATAATTTATTAACTAAACCCATTTGTCCTAGATCAAAATTACATGTTGACCAAATTCTACTTTACAAGAAATACAACAGCCATTTAAAGTCTGAATACTCTGTCTTTCTCTCTGAATGATCCTGATATCTATTAGCTCTAACTGCATCATAAAACACATATCAAAACGTTTACAAATATATATGTCCACGAGTGTTTTTCTCTTCAAAGTAGTCTCTTCATGAGGCTATTCGTTATTTCAATGAAACTACCATTTCCTATAACAGTCAATGAACTCAGTCACAAAATAAAGTGTAACTATAAAATAAAGAGGTCCATTTTCACATAGGCTCACAAACTAGCTTTGGAAGGAATTAAATGTTTTGATCAGTGGAATAAATGCAGAGCTATCACTATTATGAGGGATAACTTTAACTGGATGAAGACGTTTACTTAAAAAAATCAAAATGCAAATACCATGAGAAATAGACATATAACTCTGAAAATTAATAATTTAAGGAAAAGTTACCGTTCAAAGAAAATTATTTAATTGTTGTATAAGCTTATTAAGTGGGCAATTTTGAACAGTGATATATCCCTTAGTAATGCCATTCAGGAACCAATTACTATATAATCATTATAGTTTAAAAACTAAATTCTTACCTCCCAACCAGGCCACACAATTAGCCTTTGCAGGTGGAGTGTGAATTCGGAACGTCTTGGTACCAAGTGCTTTTTTATATTTTGGTTTTTCTACCAAATACCTTATTTCTGCAAGCAATCTGTGGAGAAATCCTGGCAACATAGATGTGCCACCTATGACTACCAAATTCTCTGCTAGCTGCTTCCTGGTGTCTATCGGGCACTGTTATTAAAGGAAAGAAAAAAAGGATTTATCCTTAATTGTATAAGTAATGCCTGACTGGATCTTAAAAAATATAGATTATGTATTGCAAATTAAATAGGTGATCATTTGAATTAAAAAACAGGTTTCTTTAACAAGGAAGTTTTTCATGCAGCAAATATAACCACGGTGAAAATACTGCCATATACTTATATAAAACTTTAAAGATTTTAAAATCTAATAGTACAGAATTTTAAATTCTACAGGACATATGGTCGTAATATGTGAGTATTTTCATTTTCAGAGTAGAATGACTGAGTTGAGCAAAGAATATGACAAGAAATAACTTTTTGTTTCTTTTTAGCAAGAGAAGTATGTGGAAACAATTTTTCTAAGGTCCTATCTCCACAGTATTATATCCAGAGCCAGCTGTCGAGTGGGAAGATAACATTCTTAGAAAAATTATGTTTCCATATCAGTTCTCTCTAAGAATTAGGAATGTTAAAGTCCTTCACTGATGTTATGTTTTTCATCAAAGTCCCTGAGTGGAGCCCTAAAGGTAGACAATATCTTCCAAAGCAATGGTATTTCACATGGAGTTCTGTGATTCCACAGTCATTAAACAAAAGAGCAATGTTATCATATACCCTGTGGAATTTAAAACACAATACTACACAGACCCGCATTTGAAGAAACTACAAGCCTCACTAAACAGAAACCTGGCATCGCTGCTAGGGAAAAAAATGCATGACATGTCCATAGCACTTATTCTCCCTGCGTGTGAAATGTTGCGGGTATCATATCTGTGTCAAAGTAAAACTCAATGGCTAAAATAAAAATACAGAAAGTAACACTTAAACATTTTCTCTAAAGAGCCGTAGTCATAAATTGAAACATTTACAAGATAAAAATACCTGCATAAGGGAATCCAGTATTAAAGTGGCAACTGATTTCTCTTCATTATCTTGTTCAAAAAGAATTTCCACAATAGAATCTCTAATGAGATTAAAAACAGGGAGTGCTTTGTTGGCATCACATAAAATGATACACAAGATAGCATTAATTCTACTGACATATTTTTAAGTACCAGTACCATGTTAATGTAGAAAAATTATTAAAACACAAGGTGCTCACAATTGTAAATGAGAAGAACAGTACCTGCCTCACGGGTGTTGAGGTGAGGATTCAATCAGTTAATAGAAGAATGCCTGGTCCAAAGGAGGCACTCCCTGACTACTAGCTACAACTATTATTATGTATGGATTTACATATGTTTTGTCCAGTTACACTTCCTTAAACCTAATAACAGAAAAGGAGCGTAATTCTATAAAAATTAGTAAGATTCAACAAGAGATCAGTAGCGATACAAGCATTTCTCTGTTTTTAAAAATAATACATGGCAAGGATTACTAGTTGCCTAATAAAATATCCATTTTCCTGTTCATTCTCAAATTAACCCTATTTTGGGGGTAGCACAAGGAAGATCTTCCTGGTAATGGAATAGTTCTCTATCTTGATTGTGGTGGTAGTGATTACAGAATCTGTGTGATACAATTACACAGAATTATACATACACATTACACCAATGCCAATTTACTGGTTTTGATTTTGTACTATAGTAATGCAAGATATAACCACTGGGAGAAACTGGGTGAAGAATACATGGGACCTCTCTATATTTATCTTTGCAACTTTCTGTGAATCTATAATTATTTGAAAATAAAAGATAGAACCCATTTTTAATCTGGATACAATGCGGCTCCCCAGTTGAAACACTGTGTCTACCAGCCTCCCTTGCAGCTAGATGTAGCTAAGTACCCAACAATGAGATGGAGGCAGAAATGGTGTGTGGGACTTCTAGAAAACTTCCTTAAAAAGGAGACGAAGCACTTTTTTCTTTCTCTTCCTAGGACTGCTTACTTGAAACATAGGTGTAGTAGCTATAGCTGCAGCTATAAGTAGAGCCCTGGACCTCACAGACAAGGGCTACACCCCACAGGTGATAGGCGGAAGGCTGTTTGGGTCCCTCATGGGAGTTGTTATACCATCCCTGGACTATCTTTCTCTGAACTTCTTTTAAATGAGACACTTCTATTTTGTTGAAGCCACTATTTTCAGGTTTGTATAACTGGTGGCAAATTGAATCCTAACCAATGTGATACAAAACTAGCTATACGTACGCATATATAAACACCATTTTTAAAAAATAAAATTGGGATCATACTATACATAGTATTTTAAAGCTTTTTTGAATCTTTTTCAAAATATAAAGTTCTCTTCCTGAGACTCACCCTACTTGCTAACTTGTTCCATTTCGTCAGCAAAGTATACTGAGGCCTGCAGAATGCTGAACTCTCACGGCTTCCGCCACTTGCTGATAGGCCTGTACACTTCTGCTTCTACAGGTTGAGTTCAATCTTTTATTGCCGCTTGATTTGATATTGAAGTTACACACTTCAACAATTACTATTTAACCAATGAAATATTAGGGTAGGAAATTGGTTTTTCCTATGTGAATTATGTTGAATGTGTTGGAAAGATACAATAATTTTTAAAATCTTTTCAAAGTATAGGTAATACATCTGTAAAAATCCAGAAGAAAATATCTAGGATTCTGTACCAAGACTGATTCACAAGTAACTAAGTTCTCACTGTACTTAAACAAACCCTGAAACTCATAACCCATGAATTACTTGTATAAGTAAATTTAACTCAGAACTCTAGAAGCAGACTTATTCTCAAAGAAAAGGTCTTGGAAAAAAGTCAGGCAAATAAACACATATTTATAAATTCTAAGTTAAACTAAAATGTTTACTATATGATTTTTTTAAAATGGTCTTTTACTTTAAACGACACTTCTGACTTATCAACGAACTATTGGTCTAGCTTGCATCTAATTAAAAGGTTTCAAAGGAACTGGATTTTTTCGTAGAAAACATGTTAGCAAACAACTGTAAATTAACTGGATCTGGAATGTGAGTCATAGTGGCTTTTTTATTCCCAATATATTCTCCTACTATTATATAACCAAAAAGCTCCATATTAGTTGAACTTCCTTAAACACTTATTTTCTTCTCTTATTCTGGGCGTCACTAAGCAATCAGGAGAAAATTTAAAATAGTAATTTAATGACGATAACTTAAATAAGAGGTAAAATGACAAAAAGTTACTACCAAAAAGTGTTACATTCTCACCTTTTGTTCCCCCAACCTGTCATCCTTTTTTCTTTGCTGAGGCAGATTCACCCTGAGGCAATATCTGTCACCAATCTTCCTCCTTTTTTCCTTTTTTAAAATGTGAGACACTGCCACAGCATGGCCACTGACAGACAAGTGGTGTAGTTCCATGCCCAGGAACTGGGCCCAGGCTGCCAAAGCAGACTGTGCTGAACTTAACCACCAGGCCACTGGTGCTGGTCTGTAACCTACCATCTTTAACATCTGTATATTTATGTTCATTCTTTTAATATCTTAACCTATGTTAATTATCTCAAAATCTAATAGGGTCTTCAATATTTATATAATAATTCTTTTCTGTGCATCTTCTGAACTAATATTTTACAGATGAAACTTTTTTTTTTTTAGGATTGGCACCTGAGCTAACAACTGTTGCCAATCTTCTTCTTCTTCTCCCCAAATCCTTCCAGTACATAGTTGTATATTCTAGTTGTGGTCCTTCTGGTTGTGCCATGCAGGATGCTGCCTCAGCATGGCCTGATGAGCAGTGCCATGTCCGTGCCCAGGATGTGAACCAGCAAAACCCCGGGCCACTGAAGTGGAGCATGTGAACTCAACCATTCAGCCACGAGGCCAGCCCATAGGTGAAACTTTTAAAATACAAATTTTATAAAGCTTAGTATAAACAAAATTTATATTGCTATTTATACTATTGTAATATAATTATGTAAGTCCTTAACAACAACTTATACTGCATCGACAGACAGAATAATTTAATGAATTAAAAAAAGGTGAATTACCAAATGGTCCTAAAGATTTAGCATATTTGGAAAATAGATTCTTTCTAACAAAGTGTTGTAAAGCCGGAATAAGCAAACTAAGGCCTGCAAGCCAAATCCAACCCACTACCTGTTTTTGCAAATAAAATGTCATCAGAACACAGTCACGCGCATTCATTTTACACACTGTCTATGGCTGATTTTGCACTCCAAGTGTAGAGCTGAGACGCTGCAACAGAGACCACATGGCGCACAAAGCCTAAACTATGTACTATTTGTCCCTTTACAGAAAAAGTTTGTTGAATCCTGTTTTAAAGTATCATACTTTATTCTCCACCTCAAAGAATGGTTAGTTCCATTAACTAAATTAATTCTGAATTACTCTGATGAACAGGAAAGAATGCTTTTTAAAGTTTTAAAAAATTAAAAAGCTGAATAATAAAATTAATCATGAATGATGAGGCTTCACAAAAACCAGATAATTGTTAAATCAGCAATACTAAAGGCTTACGCAGATACTTTTAAAGGCCAAAAATTTATTTTAATTCATCATTTTGCTGACAAAAATTAAGGCCTAACCTGATTGATCCAAGGACATGCAAAATCTTCTCTCCATCTAATGGGTAGTCAACATTTGGAGGTGGTGAGGGACGCTGAAATACAGACATCATAAGCCTAAGTATACAGGTTATAACCTCTGAAAAAAGAACATACATTTATTTTTAATTTACCTCAGTATTCCCATCAATATTAAATTTTGCTGCTTGGATTTTTAGTCCACGCTTCAGATCACTTACGAAGCAAGTGCGCACTCAAAAGAAAGAAAAGCAGACTTCGTTACAGTTTGCGGTTGAGTCAATTCTATGTCCCAGTTAAAACAATTCTATTCAAGTGTTCATGCTAATCATTCATTCCTTCAGATTTTATAAACTATCCCTGTGTTTATTTAGCTTATGACAATTTATTCACAAATAAACAAACTTTCTCATTCACTAAGGAGTCATAGGACGTTGCGTGTTCAGCTTCCATAAAACCGCATTTAAAAAAAAAACACCTTTGAGGAAACTATTATGCTTTTTGATATTCCTTGTATAAAGAGTACCATAATAAAAACAAACTTTAGCATCATGAAAATACAGTATTCTAATTGAGTAGTATATTTCTTGGAACCAGAATGACTTATATCTCTACATCTAATCTTAGGTATCTATCTATCTGATTCTTTCTTTAAAATCTTGGTTGGTCAGAACACTAAGCTAAATGTTGCTCTTAATTGCAGTTAACACTCCTTAGTTTAAGGTTTTTTGGCATGATTATCTTCTCCCTCTTGGCACACCCCAATACTACCACTTTCCTTCTACTCTATCATCAGTTATTTTTTTGGACTTTGTTTTTTTTCCTTCTTCTCCTCCCCAGAGGCCCCAGTACATAGTTGTATATTGTAGTTGCAGGTCCTTCTGGTTGTGCTGTGTGGGATGCTACCTCAGCGTGGCCTGACAAGTGGTGCCATGTCCATGCCCAGGATCCAAAACAGCGAAACCCTGGGCTGCCAAAGCGGAGCATGCAAACTTAACCACTCAGCCAGGGGGCCGGCTCCTTTTTTTGGACTTTGAACATTTATTCTTTTAAAGATTCCTTCTGTTGTAAAGTACCTATTATAATAAGCTGCTTCAAATTACTTTTAGAAATAGGTAAGGAATAAAAATTTTTTTAAATAGAGACAAAATTGAGTCAAATGCAAGAAATCTAATGAATTGGTTAATTACTTGTGAAACATGTTAAATATATATTTATATATTATTTAAAATTTTTTCGATTCACTAACTCAAAATCTATTTGTCAAGAATCTACAATATGCTAATATATTAGATAGTAAGCTAGGTGCTCAAGTTACTTATATATTTTATATTTTATTCAAGTTCTCATAAGTATCTAAGCAATGTAAATATCTAGCCCTCAGGATCTTATATATTTGGCAGAGGAAAGTGCCCTTTTTAAAGAAACCAAATTCACTGAATTAAAAATCCACGAACAGATAAATTACACTTAAGAATTTTAAGGGGCCGCCCCATGGCTGAGTGGTTAAGTTCAGACACTCCGCTTCGGCAGCCCAGGGTTTCACAGGTTCGGATCCCGGGCACGGACATGGCACTGCTCGTCAGGCCATGCTGAAGCGGTGTCCCACATGCCACAACTAGAAGAACCCACAACTGAAATATACAGCTATGTAGTGGGGGGCTTTGGGGAGAAAAAGAAGAAAAAAAAAAGAAGACTGGCAACAGTTGTTAGCTCAGGTGCCAACCTTTAAAAAAAACATAATAGTAAAAAAAGAATTTTAAAATAATTGAAAAAGACTTAGGTAATTAAACTACATAACTAATATAATGAATGTGTGTTGCATACTTTATAGAAATGGGTTCCTACTGCACATATTATTCGCAACATGCTTTTGCCCTTTATGTATTATGGACATCCTTCCAAATCAATACATCTAGCTCCTTCTTTTTAATAGCTGCAGGTATTCCTTATTATTAAGTTAGCAAATTTCATTTAACATTCCCCTTTTAGTTGGAATGCACACTTTTGATTTAATAAATATGCCAGATTGCCTTCCAAAAGGGTTAGTTTTCAATCCTTACTAATAGTAATATATATTCATTTCCCCATAATCTCACAAATACTGGATATCTAACTTTCAAATTTTTGCCAATCTGATTTGTTTCCCTGACTAATGGGAAAGCTGAATACCTTTTCACAAGTTGGAGGCTAAATGGAAAGACACACTCCAAACAATTAACAATGGTTATGTCATGGGGAAGAGACTGGAAGAAGGGAAGGGAAACTATTGATTTCACTTGAGATATTTCTGCATTATCTGAGCTACTGCAATAAGCATGTACAAGTGACTGAATTTTTACAATAACTGAAGAGATTTTAGGTAATTACACCAGGTAAGTAAGCAACGTAATGCAGAACAAGATCCACTTTGCAGCCCTAGCTCTAACTCTACCTATTGTATTACACTGAACAAATTTTTTAATGTTTCAGGGCCCCAACTGCACCAGATTATTTCCAGGTTCCATTACTGTCTAATTCTCTATTAAATATTCTAGAATATCAATTTTACACGACACTCTCAGTACTGAAGAACATTCTATTTTTAATGCTTTTCCTTTTTAGTAAATCAAAATACCACAAAACTCTAGTTAAATATATCATAAAAATGCACTTTGGCAAAGGAGAAGTAATATATCTTATTAAAGTGAATCCAATATACTTTGGCTCCAACTGTACAATTTCCCAAGTCAGTAAAATGATTGACCTTATAAAAATGTAATATAAAAAACTAGAGTAAAAAAAACACCATACAACCTAAAACCACTGGCTTTCTTAAGCAATTTAACTATTATTTCATACTGTGAAAACTACTAATTTCCTAGTAACCCTGTATACATATCTATAATTGAGCAATTTCTTCAATAACACATCATAAGTAATGCCAAAAGCTTCCAAAAATCTGAAGAAAAATCAAAATTTTATTTACATGTGTAAATATTTAGAAAAACATGTCTTCCAAACTAATACTTAAGGATGAAAGGGACAAAAATGGGAACTTAATTTACCTTTAATGTCCTCTAAGACACCCTCTGGAATTGAACCTAAAACAGAAATTTTATTTAGAACTGTAGAACTTTAACAATAAGCAGAAACAGTCTGCTTCTTCACATTTCCATTTTCCATTTCAGCAAAATTTTTAAAAATTTAAGTACCATAACTGTTTGAAGCCACCAAAAATTAACCTTGCTTTTAGGGAAGAAACTTCATCATTGAAAGCCAAGCCAAAGCACAGAAGTTGAAGCCAGATGTGCACGAAGTGCTACAAGATGTCATATACTCATAAACTTGATAAAAACAAGACCTTAAAAGTACAGTAGAATACTTGGCATTAGATAGGAACTGACCAAGACAATCCTTTCCCCCATAAAAGGGTTCGCCGGTTATTTTGTGGTAAAGTACTTACAAGAACTGCAGGACTTAAACATGAGTTATTTATCTTTTTACTAAAAGTGAGGTTTCAAGTTTGCTTATCTTTCTTGCGACAATAAATATCAGTAATATGCTAACATAAAATATATTTTTAAAAAGGATCACACACAGACTTTTAATTTTTTCCTTCATGGTAAAGGTGACATTTTACAAAAAGGGTGAGGGAGGACCCATTCAGAGAAATCCACACTATACAGGGAGCTTTGAAAGACAGATGTCTGGATATGTTACCATTGTTACGTGATTTTGTTGCCAAAAATCTCGTTTTCTGAGGCAGACTCAGAAACAAAATTTTCCAGAGGAAACCAAGAAGGAATACTTGGAGAAGTAACAGAACGCCATAAAGGAAGAGAGTCCTGAGAGCCAAGGGAGGAGATAATACCCAGAGTACATGAGAGGCCACAACGTCGGAAACTCTAGAAAAGGCGACTAAAATTCAACTACTGGATCTGGTGATGAAGAGCTCAATAACGACCTTCTCATTGGGGCAATGTCATTGGAGTGATATGGGGGAAAAGAGAGTAACTAGTCAATGGGGTAAAAAAAAACACCAGTTGAAGAATGAAAAGGGAAGGTCAATCACTCTGAAGCAGTTTAAAATGACGTTACCCAGCACAGAGGGAAGGCTCTGCTCTTTAGCAGCACCTGTGTCAACAGTACATTGTTCCAATAGCTGAGTTTCCAACTCCCTGAAGGTAAAAACAAAAAAGTTATTGGAATTCAAATATTGGAACTGATATCCTTCTCTTAACACTTTTACTACATAATAGATCATGATGCTTTAAATAAAAGTGGTTGTATCCTTAAAAGATAAATACACTCTAGGCTAATAGAGAATAGAATGAATAACATTAAACGTCCACATTACAAGCCGTCTACTGATCACTGTCAAAAAGGGAGCATCTGTTTTGTGGTGCAGCTGAAGCAAATGTGCTAAATTCCGAGAAACTTACTTGTGAAGAGCTTTTCCTCCTAGGGGCAGGGCTCCCCAACAATTTAGTACTGGGATTCCTTCATATATCTATCAGGTAGTTAAGGATTTTACTATCGTAGGAGATAAAATGTGGTCTCCTTGGTATTTTCCTCACCTTCTGCAGTATTGTTCTAAATCAGCTTCGGTGGCAAATTCTTATTCTTTATTTTAAAAGAGTTATAGTGGGGGCCAGCCCCATGGCCAAGTGGTAAAGTTCCCTGTGCTCTGCTTCAGCAGCCCAGGTTTGGCTCCTGGGCACGGACCTGCTCCACTTAACAGCCATGCTGTGGAGGCGTCCCACACACAAAAAACAGAGGAACATTAGTTGCGGGTGAATCTTCCTCACCAAAAAACATAAATAAGAGTTACTGGAAAATCAGAGTCTTTTTTCATATTCTTCTCCAAAGAAAAAGGTTAAACACGCATATCCCCCAAATTCATTACTTAGAACTAGGGTGTCCAATAAAGTAGCCACTGGCCACATGTGGCTTCAGCACTTGAAATGTGGCTAGTCTGAATTGAGATATGCGAAAAGAATAAACTCCACACCTAATTTAGGAGACTCAATACGAAAAAGACCCCTGCAAAATAGCTCATTATAATTTTTTATATTGATCATATATTGAAATGATAATATTTTGAATATATTGGGCTAAACAAAATATACTACTAATTTCATCTCTTTCACTTGTACTTTTAGAAATCTAGTTCTTAGGGGCCGGCCCCATAGCCAAGTGGTTAAGTTTGGGCGCTCTGCTTCGGTGGCCCAGGGTTTCACCAGTTTGAATCCTGTGTGCGGACACGGCACCACTCAACAAACCATGCTGAGGCGGCATCCCACATGCCGCAACTAGAAGGACCTGCAACTAAAAATATACAACTATGTACCCAAGGGGCTTTGGGAGAAAAAAGGAAAAATTAAAAAAAAAAATTAAAAAAAAAATCTAGCTCTTAGAAAAGTTTTAAATTACATATATGTCTCACACTGTATTTCTATTACAGCTGAGAGGACAGTGGACATATTGTACTATGGGTTTGCTACCTTATTTTACACATTATTTTTACTGATGTTTTATAAGTCTAATATTTATGAAACAGAAAAAAATAGATTGGTAAGAACATTGAATTTGGAGACAAACATGGGTTTATATCTTGGCTGTACACTTATGACCTTGGGTCAACTCCCTATCCCATTTATAGGGATAATCAATCTTCTCATTTATATAATGAAGAGAATAATACTTATGTTGCACGGTTGTTACGAGACTTACACACTAAATACTTTATCTTTAAAAACTATTGCCAGGGGCCAACCCAGTGGCACAGCGATTAAGTTTGCACATTCCACTTCAGCAGCCCGGGATTCGCTGGTTCAGATCCTGGGTGCGGACATGGCACCGCTTGGCATGCCATGCTGTGGCAGTCATCCCACATATAAAGTAGAGGAAGATGGGCATGGATGTTAGCTCAGGGCCAGTCTTCCTCAGCAAAAAGAGGATTGGCAGCAGTTAGCTCAGGGCTAATCTTCCTCAAAAAAAAAAAAAAAAAAGCTATCCCCTAATTTAGTTCCATAGGAGCTAAGGATTCTTGATTTCTTTCCCAAGAGCATTTCTTCTAATAAATACACATGTAGATCTCAAAATTGCAAGAGTCTTGCATTTATGTACTTCAACCTCCTTTTCAATGTAGCAATGTACAGTGTAACATTTTGAAGAGACAATTACTTATACTCTGCTTAAATGCTTCTAATGACAAGGAATGTACCAGTTTATAGGCAGTAATTCCATTTTGGGACAGCTTAAATTACTAGGGAGTTCTTCCCAATGGAAAATGATATAAAAACTACAGCACTTACTGAGCAAGTTACCATGTGCCAGGTCCTATGCTAAATAATTTACATACATTACCTCACTCAAGTCACACAACACCCCTATGAGGTGGAATTATTATAATTCCCCTTTTACAGATGAGGAAACTGACACCCAAAGAGATTAAGCTACTTGACCAACATCATACAACTGGTAAGAAGCATAGCTGAGACTTACACTTGTGTGTATCTGATTCCAGAACCCTATGCCATGTTGCCTCCATGAGTGCCTCAGGAGACAGACAAACGTATTCACTTCAGAGTGAGCCCTTCAGCTATTTGAGGGCAGATTTCATGTTGCCATTAAATTTTAATTTTTCTTGATTTAACTTTCTCATTTCAGTTTCTCCAATTACTCTTGGTATAATCTTTTATTAGAACTTAACTATTAGAGTCAACTTCTTTGACATGTCCTAATTAGCTATGTTCCTAATTAGACATGTTCCTCTTCAAAACTGAACATAATATTCATGAGGTCTGATCCCTGGAGTATATACTGGGACCAAGTCATAATGGTAATTCCTACAAAAAGTAAATTTAAGTCTCATAATCCTATGAATTTTTTCCACGTGGTAATTCATATTTCTACATGGTAATGCAAAATAGTTTGATGCAATAAAAACCATTTGTAATAAGCTTAATTATTTTAAAGTAGAGTAAAAACTGCAAAATTAGCTGGTTGGCAAAAAAGATACAGGTAACACCAGGCTTTCCCTATATCCGCAATCCAGGACCATGGCAGAGTTTATTCCAAGCGTCAGGAGAGCCATTAGGTGACTCGGAGCAAGCAAGACAGACGGAACCTAGAGAACAACAAAACCAAAACAAACATGACGACAAAACCAGAATGAGCGTCAGCAGCTGATGAAGCTCTTTACCTTACATTTCAAACATATGTGAAAAAACTCACAGGGACATTTTATTTGTTTATATTATGATACCTATTCAACCATCTTATGGCACTAAATTAAAACTAGTATTGATTTACTTGAATTTACACAATAATTGAAATATACTGTAATAAATAAAAACACTCCTCTTTTAAGTTCTTTAAAATGTTTCATTCCAAAATGACAATTATGAAGCATTTTTATTAATTCTTGTTCTCTCTTTTCGAGGGGAAACCGAAAGGGATAAAAGAAAAGCTACAGAAACATAAATTCGGAGGAAGACGCTACATTTAAAAAATAAAAAAACACTTTTACCATCAAAATGAAAATATAGGAAAAGGATTCTTGATTGTCTTTATTCACAAAGTTTCTAATATGAATTACTTTTAAAACATTATAATTTGGCAGTTAAAATTAAATTGAAGAACTGCAAAAATTCTTAGTTTTGTGTGACATTTTTCAGTGAGAATCTGCCAGATCTAGTGACACCCCAAATATTAGATAACAAAATATGAAAGTCTATCATAACCAAACGGCAAACAAAGTAAGGGCTAGATTTCCCTAATCTCAGTAGATATGGCAGGTATTCTAGTCATATATGAGATAAGGATAGTAACACAAACATAACCAAAACTCTAAAGTATAAATACAGAGAATCATCTATTTTATTCAGATAAGAGCCAAAGTGACTTCTTGTGTTGTTTTATGTTCTTCCTATTGCAAACCAAATTCCTAAGTCTATGACATCAGTAAGTAGAGGAGGGTATGAAACCTGTTTCTCTGTGCCTCTCTTACTAAACTATAACTTAGAAATTTAACTGCCTGTATCTCATAAACACACTGTGATTTTTGATATATTTTGAGTTCAGTGGAAGGTATGAAAAATACATTTATGTGTGCTTAATTTCTCATATACTGTATGCATTTTACACAATCTTCTAGTTTCCCTTGCTGAAAAACCCTAAATTCTAAGGCAGAGATTTTAATAAATTTAAATAATAAAGATTCTGACCTACTATGAAATGTAATCATCTTAAGTCTTAAGTTTGGTCCTCAAAATAATCTTGACTCCTGTACGATGAAAGCTACAAGTAATATTACTAATATCAAGATCTAAGAGTCACTCCTGGCACTGCCTCCTTACTCTACGGGAGACATTATTTGAATATTCCATTTAACAGGAATTTAAAGCCTCAAATGAAAGAATTGCAGAATTTAGAACAGTCAGCATAACTAAACAGTGGGAACTAGCAACACCTGGAAGAAATATATCATAAACTTCACAGCACAGAACATCTCTTTTAATTCTGGAAAAAAAAGTCCAAAAACAGAAAAACTTATATTAAAATAAATAACAGAAATATCCATAAGAAGAAATCTTCAATTATCTAAGTATTGGATGAAATGCTAAAAATGCATGAAAAAACAATACAAAGAAAGAAAATAAATGGTCACTTTGAAGAGGCTTCAGTTTAATTCTGCCATCTGGATCTTCAAATGCATAGTGTAGTATATATAATGAAGGAAAGAAAATGAGGACACTTTAGTTTAAGCTTTGAGTACCTCCCAAAAATAACAACATCATCATAAAAAACAGGTACCTCAAAATACTTGAAAAGAACACGAGTGAGTGTCTCTCTGAAGTGGGAAGGACATAATACCGACTCGATAACCACAACTCGGCGGTCTCTGGGATTCACCAACAGATGCCTGAAAAGTGATAGTTTTGTTTGTAAAAGTAAATAAAAGTTTGTATTTATTTTGGTCCATAATGCAATTTCAGAATAGAGAAATAGGACTACCTTAGCTTAAGATGCTTTATGACAAAAAGACATCATCATCTTATTACCCAGGAAAGATGATAATGCTCCCGACCTGTTACTACGTGCTATTCACTCCGTCAGGAACTCTACATCTATTAACTCATTTATCTCGGAAAACAAAAACTACAGCCAACTTGAGAGATTAAAACCAACTTGAGAGATTAAAAAGATATTTTCTTTTTTTAGGTTACAAAAATAATACATGCTCACAAAACTCCAAATATTATAGAAGTTTATAACTTGGAAAGTACAAATATTTTACATTTCTATTACCCAGAAAATATCACTTACAGCAGTTTGCATATTTTCATTATTGTGTATGCACCTATCTTAACAGAAATATTCATTCCATAGATACTGTTCTATAACTTGCTTTTTTCAATTATCAATATATCTAAACACCTTTCTGTATCAGTAATATAGATATGTAGAACTCTTTAATGGCTGTATAGTGTTTCACTATATAGATGTACAATAATTAAATTATCCAATCCCTTTTATTAATGGACATTTGAATTTGTTTTCAATATTTCCTTATGCTCTCTCGTTTTCTAGTCTTCAAATACACTTTTGAAAAGGTTGAAAATAAGAAAGTAAAGATGGCAAAGGAAGTCAACCTTTTTTTTTTTTGCAGTACATGTAATATAACCAAATATCACTATGACTGGCATTAGGAAAAGGCAAGGGGAAAAAACAAACACAATTGCATCTTACCTGAAATACAGTATGTGGATGAATTCCTTTAGGTAGGAATACAATTCTTCTGTATTGATATTATATTGAACAACTTTGATAGGCTATAAAAATTAAAATGATTTATTAATTTATAATAAAACAATCAAATTAAAACATGCTCATTTACTAATGTATTTTCTGGTAATCAAAAGCAATTTGTATTGAAAATGAATGTAAACATTAAATCCAGGTTAATCACTTAAGTTAGAAATCTTTAAGAAGTGGCATGTCCAAGATGTGATGGACTTTTTTTGGTCTGTGGGGATAAAAGTGTCCACAACTAAGTGAAGAGCTGTGCTCATCTGAGTTTTTCCTGCATTTGACATCGTTTTGGCAGGACTGATAATAATCAGCATAGACTAAAAATCAAAGGCTTCCTCAAACAGTCCAGACTCGGCTTAGTCCTTGTTAGTCACTCCCAAAGCACTGATCTCTCCCTTTTGTAGCATCGCCTCACTCAATTACTTGTAAAATACCTACTTTCTCTCTACACAAAAAACTCCATGGGGGCAAGAACTGTTTCTGGCTTGCTTATGATATATCCTCCTTCAAATGATACAGTGCCAGGCACAAAGTAGGTAGCTCACAAATATGTGTGGCAAAAATGAAAACATACACAATTAGCACTAACGCAGTATATGCAAACACTACCAACTCAGGAGAGCCAAGTCAACACCAACACATAACAAGGTTTGATCCTCAGCTGTAAGTGCTCTGATGCATCACTGGCAGACCTCTCTTCAGCTGCCCTTTTAAAGGAAAGATCATCAGCTCAGCTAATTTCTTGATTTTATGTAGCTTAAAGAAGGTTCCAAAACCATGGATAGCTGAATAGAGATTAATCTTGACATACACTGGTCTTGTCAAGACAAAGCTAAAAGCTGAAAGCACTAAGAAAAGTGCCAACAAGAATGTCAATGTTCTAAGTCCAGTCAGGAATCTAGTAATCTATCTAGTAACACAGTAACATCAATTATTAAAACAACACGAAAAACGAGTAGACAGGGACTTCTATCACATTTTGAATACCACAACACAAATACTTATTATATTTCTGGCTTGTCCAAGGATTTGCAGGAAATTTTGAAATCAATGAAAATTTCCCTAGTCAACCATAATTAAAAAGACTCCTGAATCAATGTATTTCATATATTGATCTTATGAAGTATCCCAATATGAAATACAAATTGATGTACTAGTCTATTCTGCTACAACCTGTGCTTTTATATGACCAAATATGTTCATATTTGATTGTTAAATAAGGGAATCATGTCTGTATAATGTGAAAGTTGTAGGAGTTCATATTAGGTGAGAGTAGCTGAAATTATGGCAGAGTTACAACCTTCATCAACAAAAAGTCATCAACTCGGTGGCCACACAGGTAGGCATCCTTTCAGATCTATTTGTGAAAAGTTTAAATGATCGTCTGTACCAGGGGCTCCCTTTCCAGAGAGGATTCTTTCACGACTCTTTATTGGGCTGTATTTCCTCCTGATCCCAACTTAACAATAGCCTCACTGGCTTAGAGCTCACTTCCATCTGCACTGTCTTAGCACCCAGTGACCACTATTTTCAATCTATTATTTAGTTCTATTTTTAATATCCCCGAGGGAGCCTCCAGCCATACTCAGTGGTAAGCCAAAGGTATTCCAATTTTTTCCTGAGGTATCAATTTTTGTTTTTGCTAGTGCTCTGGATTACAGTTACAGGGGTTTCGTGTGGTCTGTCCCAACCCTATTCTTCCCATACACCTGGTTTTGTTTGTGATCAAAGGGAGGTTTTTCAGGAATGCAAGTATTAAGTTATGGCAGAAACATCTGTATTTGATTTTAACAGGTGAATTTTACGGCATGCAAAATTATTCCTTCTATCATTCTCTAATTCCTAATCTGCCAAATTAGCTTTGGCAAGAAACTTCCTAACCTCCTTTTAAAAAATGTTTTTCACTGTTCTTTGGATTTTGGAATTACAGATAAAGGAATGAAGACCTAGCTTATATTCTAAACAGGGTAAGAATAAAATTATTCTACAGTTATGTTACATTATAAGGCTCAGAGAATTAGTTTATTAAGATTAAAAACTTTCTCTTGATACTATATAATTCTCTTTATATAAAATGTATAGAAAAGGAAAATCTATAGAGACAGAAAAAACATCAGTGGTGGACTAGGAGTGGGAACGGGGATTAACTGTAAATGGGCATTGGAGATCTCATTGGGATAACAAAAATGTGTAAAATTGGACTATGGTGATGGCTGCATAACTTGATACATTTACTAAAAATCACTGAATTGTATACTTAAAACAGGTGAATTTTATAGTATGCAAAATTAAACCTAAATAAAGATTTAAAAAAATTTTCTTGGAACACAGTCATAAGTTATATATTTAGCACTGTTCTAACCAATCTTATTTGAAGTCACATTTAAAAATATTTTACAGTACAGCATTTATTTTGCTAATTTATTAAAAAAAAAAAATACCTTAGGCACGCCAGCTTTTTTTATCACACTAGGAATTATGCATCTTGGACCAGTTTCTCCAGCAAATCCACACCTGCAAATAAAAAGAAAATTGAGTCATTCAACTTTTAATATTCTTCCCATATACTTGTCACACAAACAAGTTCTTTTGTATTTGTTTCAAAGCAGGGATCACAAAAACATCTGTTAACATTTCTGATGCATTCAAAGGGACAAAAAAATAAGGAAAAATTAATACCATCATTCATAATTATCTATTAAAAGTAAAAAATAAAATTATTTCAAATTAGTGATACTGAAATAAAAGTGTATTATTTTAGGGCAGCATTTCCTTCTTTTTTTTCAGTTTTTAATTCTACCTGTATTTCAGGCAACACATCTCTACAACCCTGGATCTGTGCTATATTATGTGACTTCATTTATATAATTCATATGAGTTCATCATAAGTCCATCATTCTAATATTATTAGCTTCCATATTGCTGTGTTTCCTTTTGGTCTATTTTTTAAACTATGCATATTTGATCTAGTTACAATCATTCTGTTCATACATCATGAACTCACACAATAAGCTTCTGGCCATATCATCATAGTCTTCACTGCTACATTTTAAAAACTGCATAATATTTAATCCTCTTTAAAAAGTATTCTCCTTTCTTGAGTATTTAGGTATTCCCATTCCTGTTTCATGTTAATAAAACAAAACTTTGCTAAACATGGCCACCATGTAAGCATAGTCTTAACACTATCTCTTCTTATCCTACCTAGTTTTGAGTAATGCTGTCCTATTCCCAAACCGCTCTTTCCATCCTCTCCTAGTGGCATCTCCATGTTCACTTGCACCAGCGCTCCTCAAATTCTTCAGGATGCAACCTACTGGTTGGCTTCAATTCCTTTCTTTTATTTCATAAATTCCTCTTATCACCCTCCTGTTGCCTTTGCCAATAATCATCCTCTTGTAAAGGAGCTTTCTGCTTCTCATTTCCTCAACATATAGCCAAAGTAACTACATTTGGGTGTCAGCCTCAAAGTATTTACTATGCAATTAAAATAAACCTGTAAAAACAAATAAAATATAAAGGAAGATCTTACATAGAACAGAATGTCAGGAAACAAGGACTGTTTAATCCAATTGTACAGCACCTGAAGTCCAATTCTTAAATAGTCTCTTTTGACGACTTATTCAAGAAACAACTATTAAACACCTACTATATGTTAGGCACTGTTCAGAGATATGTAAAGATCACCAATTGTTCCCATTTTAAATAAATATAAGATGCAATTCTGGCTGTCATTTTCCTCTCTCTTGAGCTCAGTACAAAGGCTCTCAATCTGGAGTCCAAGGACCACCGTGATGGTCTGCCAACTCCTGAAACTGTGTGCAAATATTTTAAGGTTTGTGTATTTGTGATTTTCATTCGGCCGTCAAAGGGATCTATGCCATCCAAAAGACGGAGAACTACTCCTCTAGTGTTTACAAGATGCTTTTTAAACATGTTAAATTTCCTAATCAAAGGAGGGGGGGCAACAAAGGATCTCGAGAGTCTTATCTATAGGGTTTCACCTCTTTATGTGTTCAGTCTCCCTAATTTGACTTCCTACTCTTGGGGAGCAATGGCCCTGTCTTAAACATATTTGGATTTCCAGCACCAACAGAAGCTCCATTCAACAAATGTTTAACGACAGAGATCGTCATCAAGCGTTACAGTTCGGTTGCTACCTTCCTAAGCAGTCAAGCCTAGGGTAGGAGGGGTCTAGGTCATCGCTGTCATCCTCCGCATGGATGACCCCAACAGGTCCGTTCTGTTTGGCGTGACGACCCGGGGCGGCGGCGAAGGCAATTCTCCCGAACCTCCTGGGCCTCTCTAGGAGTCAGACCCTGACTGCCCCCCGGGATCCTCGGGATTCGCATTCGCGCACGGTGGAAATAATAAAAGTCGCCGTTTGTTGGGGAGCCAGGGGAAGAAGTGCTGCTCCGCGAGCCTGCGATAAGGACCCAGGCCAGGTCTGGGGCTCGGCCACGCGCCCTCCCCTCGGGACGACCACTCACTTGGTAAAGGCCTCTCCCAGGTCTATCACGACCGCAGTTTTCTCGCCGCCGCTCCCCAGGCCCTCGTACAGCGGCATCGTAGTAAAGAGGACGGCGGAGAGGCCAACGCAGAAGCGGAGACAGACGGCCCTCGGCTCGTGGGGCGGGGCCGGGCGGGCGGTGCCGACGGCGGGGGCCTCGCGTGGCCGCGGCGCGCAGGGCCTGGGCTGTCCCGGGCTGCGCCGCCCTCCGCGCCGGAGCCCAATCCTCGCAGGCGCCCCGTTTCCGGGACTAGGGAGGAAGACTGGGCGGCCGCAGGTCTGGTGCGTGGGGCGCAGAGGGCCGAGGCCATCAGGCGCGCCGGGCACCCAAAGTGGGCGGAGCCAGCTCCGGGTCCTTCCGGGACCCCGCCCTCAGGCGGAGGCGGGGTCGGGGCGGGAGGCTGCCGGTTGGTGTGGCTTTGGAGAGCTGTGTGCTGTCCCGGAGAGCGCTCAGCGAGGACAGAGGACCCAAGACTTTGATTTGTGCAGTCTTGGGGCAAAATTTGCTGTGCCAGGTGTGTCGGCCATCATTTATGCTTCGCAAGAAATACTGAGAATAAGTGTTATCTTCTCATCTGTGAGGATAACACGAGCTCGGAGAGATTGAGTAGCGTTCCCAGTGCCCCAGAGCAAAGCCGGGCTTGGACCCCAAGCCTTTCTGGTCTCAAAGCCTGTACTGCTGATGCTTTAGAGAAAAATGTGTACAGACAACTTTATTTGGTAGTCATTCTGCTGCAAGTTTTAATTTTAATCCAAAAGAAAGTAGATAAAATAGCATCTAGGGATCTATCTATGGAGGATCAGTCAGGGTTGTTTAACGGAAGGAACATTGAACCAAGGGTTCCCGTTTACCCTGAAACTGAGTCCTTCAACCGGAGGAAAGTCCGTCTTTCTGTGCTAGTGTGCGCACGCAGTAGGAATTCGATAACATGGACTGTTTACAACTTTATCATTTCACAGCTCTGTCTTCTTTCTGCTGAAATTGCCCAAGAAAGCTGGAGCCGGTGGCTAGGCTGCTGCCTTGTCTCTGTAGGAAGAGGAATGATCTGTTTAACACAGTATGTCTTTCTTACCTACTGAGATGCCTGAGCCTCCCTTCAAAGGGTAAGGTCTTTCTATAATGAGAGTGAAGGCTGCATAATCTTGGACCATGTGATATTAGTAGGCTTCACTGATCCATGATCTTCCTGAAAGCGGAGGTAGGAGGATGAAGTTGGAATTGTGATGGGGAAGAAAACTTCAAAAAGAGTGGGAAAGGATGAAACATTTTGCCTAATACGGTCAGAGTGTTTGAACAGGACCCTTCACTCTCGTTCAGATTCTGTTTCACCTTCTGTCAAGTCTCTAATACTTCTCCATCATCCATTTTCTTATCTGTGAACTGTCCTGCTACTTCTCAGGGTATTTGTGAGGATCACTTGCGATTATATTTTGAAGCTATTAAGTGTTGTTGTTACCCGTTCTGTGTTTTCCGTGTCTGCTCACCAGCTGTGCCGCATTAGTTTCTTAGGAATGCCATAACGAAGTGCAGCACACGGGGTGGCTTGAAACAAGAGAAACACATTCTCTCGTAGTTCTGGAGGCTGGAAGTCCGGGTTAAGGTGTCAGCAAGGTCATGCTCTTAGAAGGCTCTGGGGGAGGATCCATCCTTGCCTCTCTCTAGCGTCTGGTGGTGGCTGGCAGTCCTTGGTGTTCCTTGGTTTGTAGATGGGTCACTACAATCTCTGTCTCTGTCGGCACCTGGCCTTCTTGCCTGTGCCTCTGTGTTTTCATATGACGTTCTCTTCCCTGTGTTTTCACATCATTTTCCTTCTTTGCATGTCTCTCTGTCCAGATTTCCCTCTTATAAGAATACCAGATGTTAGCTTAGGGCCCAAATCCTAACCCTCTATGATCTCATCTTAACTTGATTATATCTGCAAAGACCCTAATTCCAAATAAGATTGCATTTTGAGGTTCCCAGTGGACAAGAATTTTGGGGGGATACTGTGCAACTCAGCATACCAGCTAAATGTTGGTGTTCTCCATGGTTCTGCCCCCAGACCTCTTCTCTTCTTACTGTGTACGCTCTCCTTTGACAATCTCTTTCATTCCAATATGTATGGCTAGAGCTAATTGTTGAATTCTGTTTGCTGTATATAATCCCATGTATTCCTCACAGTAACTTCATGAGTTAAGCTGTAGTATCTCCATTTTGAAAATGATGCTGAGGCCAAGAGAGGTTAAATCGTGTGCTGGGGCCTCTCATCTATAAGTGGCAGAGCAGGAATTCTATCCAAGACAGTCTAACTCCAGAGCCAGAACTGCACTGCACAATTATAAAGTAGTTATGCCTAAAATAATGTTTTATCATAGAGTTTTACAATCTTAGTATATGAAGTGACCTAAGAGGTTTTCAAGTCTGAACTCCAACCTAATACAAGACTTTCCTGTCCACCTCTGATGAGAGTTGTCTCTCCAAGTGGTTCCAGTGATGGACAGAGGGCTCATGACTACCTGGAATCTACAAGATACTGAAAATGTGTTTGCTAATACGATTAGAGGTTAAAAACACAAAAAAGGAAAACGCTGTAAGGATAAGAATCATTTGAAAGAATCCCAGCTTTTCCAGCAGGTTGGCATATGGACCTGCGTTTGAGTCCTACATCTGTTAGCTGACTAACCTCAGGCAACTCCATTAAACTCTCTGGGCCTCAGTTCCCTCATTTGTAAAATGAGGAAAATGTACACACACTAATAATCTAAACTAGGTTGAACTAGAATCTGCATCCCTTTAGCTAACACCTCCTATTCTCTCTCACTCTCCCTACTTTTTTTTGGTCCAAGCTAAGCATTCCTAATCTTCTAATTGTTTCTCTTTTTCATGGTTTTCAGGCCACTTATGAATCATTTACCCACTTCTGGAATTTTTCTGTTTTGTTAATGTGCCCCATAAATTACACAATACCTGAGCTATGTCTGAAATGCTCATAGTATGACAGGGTTCAATTCTCTTGCTCCAGCTGCTGTGTTTTATTAATACATAGCAGTGGGTTTGTTTGTTTTATTTTTAGTCACATCATACTATTGATTCAGTATGCAAATAAAAATCCAAGGTGTACCTAAATTTAGAGCTTTATACTTCTTTCTGTTGAATTTAATCTAGCTAGTTTTGGTCCATCTTTCCAACCTTTCCATATCGTTAAAAAAAAAAATCCAGGTGGTTTTGAATCAAGAGTCTGGCACTAAACATATTAGAAATAGTGGTACCCACAAGTTTGAGAGGCATGCTTTCAAGGTTTTGATTCTTTTCATAAATACTTATTGAGGGCCTATTATATGCTAGGTCCAGGAAATACAAGAATACGAAGGAACGGTCTTTGCTCACAGACTCTATTGGGAAGGTAGACTATAAAGTACTAAGTCTCATACTGGAAATGCATGGAATATTAAAGGAGACAGAGGAGGGGACCGATCAACTGCCTAGGGAGCAGTCAGGGCAGCCTCAGGAAGGAGGTATGCACTCCTCCATTCTTGAATTCAAGCAGATGCTCTGTTAGGCACTGGAAGTACGAATATAAAACAGAGGCACTAGCCTCAGGAGTTTATAGTCACATTTACAGACAAACTTTTAAAACTGTTGATAAAAACTAATGCTTGGATGAACGTGGTGCTTTAGAGGCAGAGACCAGGAAGCAATCTGAAATTTTTCCAGAGGAGGTAGGACTGGGAATACGTAAGAGAGGACACAACACATGAGCTCCGTCTGGAAGCTCAGTGGCAGTTTTCCGATCTGGAGCTACAGGAAAGGCATTCCAGGTTGAGACAATTGCATGGGCAAGGCTTTACGCTTCATGAGAGGAATGGTGATGTGCTGTCAGTTGGCAAGAAGTGATGGGTCCAAATCATTAAGCCCGTCACTGGTATGCTGAGGAGTTTGGACTTTATCCTATGGTTATTAGTCACCATTCAAAATATGTTAAGTAAGGGAAAGACAACGTCATATTTGTGTTCAGTTTGATCAGTTTGTGTTCACTTCTTTTGAAGTGGGATAGACCAGGGTGAAATGCAGGGCACTGAGAGTGGTGGTGAGAAACCAATTTGCAAGCTATTGCAAGAGTCTCTGAGAGAAATGATGACCATTAATAGGGAATAATAATGGCCATGTGACAAATTACCTTTAAAATGAAATCCATATGGAAGAAGACATAATATTATATTTAATGACAATAAAATCACAGTCAGGCATTGATCACAATTTAGAGCTGTTTTCTCAAGCACTGTTAGAAAAATATTTAATAGCCTGATTGAATTAACTAACATTACATGGTCAGAGGGACTTTATAGTTCCAATTATATTAGTGCCTCCTAATTAATCCTTTTTAAAGTACGTGATTTAATCAGAATTGCAAGCTTTGTTTTTCAACTTTTCAACTTCTTCTGCAGGTTATATTTCCAAAATGAAGATAATAACTAGCCCTTGAACTCCTGTTGATAAACCGTTCATTGTTAGTCATCAAAACTCTCCTCAAAGCTAAACATCACTTATTGTCTCCAGGGATAACTCACCTTCTTCGGGTCCAAAGTGGCTGGGAAGGTGACCTAATCTTAGGCTTCTTGAATGTGCTATAAAAGCTCTCCAATGTTTGGTTGATGAAGAGTTTTCATCAGCCCCAGTGACTCAAGTAGTTGCATTTATAGCCAGAAACCTAGAAGTCATGTAGACCCCTCTCTATTTTTGCCTAACCTAATCAGTTGCAAAGTCCTGTGTATGTTTCACATAAACATTATCTTCTCCGTTCCTACTCTGCAATCAGGATTCTGACATCAGCTGCTTAATTGGTCTCTCTGACCTCTCTACAATCCACTGTCTGTGCTGCAGGCTGAGTGAGCACTCTAAAATGCAAATACAATCATGACACTGCTTAAAATCTTTCAATGACATTCTGCAGTTTTCAGATATATCAGCAGCTATATCAGCCTGCCAGTAGTTTCCCAAATGTATCCTGCTGCTTCACACCTTGCATATTGTGCCTAGAATGCCTTCTTTATCTAGCAGCTTTTTTCTTTCTTTCCAAACTCTAATACAGCATCAGCTCCTCTGAAAAGCTTTCCCTGATACTTGGTCTGTTAGTCTATTTAGATCTTTATCTGTGCCTCAGTGGCA